TGGAAGGTGCTGGAAGGTCTCCCCGGAGCCTTCTCTTCTCCAGGCTGCACACCCCCAACTCTCTCAGCCTGTCCTCGCACGGGAGCTGCTCCAGCCTTGGACCATCTCCATGGCTTTCTCTGGCCCTGCTCCAACAGGTCCATGGATGAAGCCATTTTTTAGGGGACCCAGTCCAGGGGATGGATTTGGGTTTTTAATAACTATTTTGTGCTCAGCTCAGCTCCCTCAACATGCTCAGGTCTGGCTGGTCAAAACGTACCTGGGGCAGGACGGGGCTCCGTGCTCAGAGCTGCCGCAAGCAGCAAACCCTCCTCGTACAACGCCACCGTAAGCCCCACTCCTCGTGCGATGGGGCAGTCACACGCTCTCCACCCTGTTCAACGCTGACCAAAACCTCTGCAACGCCCAGAGGGTGCAGCAGTTTTTCTTACGAGTCAGTTTTTGTGCAGGGATGAGCAAGCACACACCTTATTTTCCAGGAACTGCAGAACACAACAGCGAGCAGACACGGTGTTCATGTGGGGTCATGACAGCATGTCGGTGTTTTCAAGCTGGAAGTCACTGCCTGAAAGCCTGAGATGAATCACGTCACCACACTGGATTTTTCAACCACAGGAGGGGAAAAATAGCTCCAAACAAGTTATATTTTATCCAAGAGGACCAAGGTGTGGGATACTTTATTCAACCCCCTGCGGACTAAGCTTTGGGCACCTTCTTGATCCCTCTCTTCCCTGGCAGCTGGAGCTGTTTGGGGCTCCCCTGCTTGGACGTTGCCTCTTCTTGGACGTTGCCTCTTCAAGAACAGCTTTTATCGCCTGCGCCTCATCCGACGGCTTGGCCTTCTCCTTGCCAACGATTGCAGAGTAGATCTCGAACACCTCCCGGAATTCTTCCATCAGCCTCCGTGCCTCCCGATATGCCCTGGGGCTGGATTTCCTTGTCTGCAGAACAGAGGCTGGAAAAGGCCAGGGGTGTGAGTAGGGTGATGGGATGGCTCCTTGGCTGCAATACTTCATCCTCCCTCCCACACCTCTGCCCGCCAGCAGCCCCAGGTCTCTCTCATCGCCGCAGCACAAGGAATGTCACTGTGGCAGGGACACAAAGGCGGCTGCAGGGATCCAGCTCTATCCTAGTGCCCACTGGAAACGTGAGCCCCAAAAGCAAAGGCACCAGGGGCCTTGAGCAACTCAAGAGTGAAGACAGATGTGCTGGGTTCAAGTCTGGGTGGTGGCTCTTACTGCTTGCAAAAAATGCCTTAATTTCTTGCCTCTCTTTCCTCCCTTGTTGCCCGGACGGTGCATGGAAAAGAGACAGCACCGGGGAGCAGCCAGGCCCTGCTCGTACTAGCAGTTCAGGATTGCACCAACATTGTATCTGGGATGGAGATAAAACATGGCCAGAGCTTGGAGACCTGAGTCCTGCTTCATTTCAGGGGCAAAACCGCTTTTACTCCAAGTCCGTTCTCCCAACAGCTGGGTTTGGGGCAGGGTTAAGCCAGCTGTGGATCCAAGGGACCCCAGCAGTGTCTGCGTTGCATTTTTCATAGAATCCCAGAAGGTTTTGGGTTGGAAAGGCCCTTAAAGCCCATCCAGTGCCCCCCCCTGCCATGGGCAGGGACACCTCCCACTAGCCCAGGTTGCCCAAAGCCTCATCCAGCCTGGCCTTGAACCCCTCCAGGGATGGGGCATCCACAGCTGCTCTGGGCACCCTGGGCCACTGCCTCACCCCCCACACAGGAAAACATTTCTTCCTATTTCTTCCTAAATTCACCCCTCTGTTAACCAGTAGGCAGAACACCAGGGTCCAGCCTCATGGTGGGCTGAGGTCATTCAGCAGCCGAACCCCCTCATGTCCCCTGAAGGGACGTGAGGAAACGCTGCTGCAACAGGGGGACCCTCCATTCCCAACCTGGCCACACCTCAGGACCCCACCAGCTCAGGGACACCTTTCTGCTCAGATCCTGCCCCTGCCTCTGCAGTGCTGCGTCAACAGGAGAGACTGGGAATGCAGGAACATACCCAAGGGGACTTCAGTGATGGTGGAGGTGTTCCTCATGGCCAGCAGGATTCCTTCCAGGACCTCTGCTCTCGTCTTCCGGGCGGGCAGGCCAGGCATCCTCCCTTGCTGCAAGGAAGACCAGGCGGTTGCAGTGTGCCTCCCCTCCACCCTCCAGGCTGATTCCTCTACCTCCTTTTCCTGCCCCCTCTCCCAAATTAATATGGGCCCATCTACACAAAGTAGATGAGAGTCTCTTTTTTTTTTTGGACCAAAGTGGTCCAAAATTGGTTTAGACACCAATTTAAGAATATTGAGCAACACTGGATCAGTTTTCCACAACCCCAGAGCAGCGCAGTGGATTCAGGGACTGTAATTCTACCAAAACCCGCTCCACAAACCCAGCTCAGAGGCTGTTTCCTCCACGTCCCTTGGGATGGGGCTGGCTTTCTCCAGGGGGTTGGTGACAATCTTGGTGATAACGGCTCTTGGCCATTTACCGGCCCCAGTGAGCTGAGCTGCCCCATCCCTGCAGGCTGGTTCCTGTGGAGGCTGCGTGTACCATACCAAGAGAGAGAGGGAGGGAACTGTGAGGCTCTGGGATTGGGAGCTGGGGCCAAATTCGGGCTCTCAGCATCCATCCAAACACATGGCTTGATCCAAATATAGACACAACCATTCTCCCTTCAGAGCATTGGCTCTTTCACCTTTTTCCAAGGTACGTAGGGCTTCTGTATGGTGTCCAGTCGTGGCTTTGCATCCCGGTGAATCAGGGGGTGCTTCAGGATGAAGTACAGTGCCTGCACGTTCTTCTGTATCCCTGTGGACCAGAGGAAAAACAGAACAACAAAAACCTTTGCTGCTTCTTTCATGGTCAGCGTGGATCATCAGCCTGCCAAGGCTCTTCTGAGCAAAAGCCTTCTGCTGTCCTCACTCACCAACTGGGTCGATAAAATCTGTGTCTGTGTCTCCACCAAGCAGCTCCTCATAGCCTTTGTATCGTTCTGGAACCACCTGGGAGGTTCTTTCCCCCTTCTGCTCACTCTTCATCTCCAGCCTGCCCTCTGCCACGGGTCTTGGCAGGGGTCTGGACACATCCTCCACCTCAAAGCAGCAAAATAAAGGAATTTTGTGGCTCTTTCTTACCAATCAAGCTGGTGGAGTCAGACAGATCCTGTCCTGCTATGGACAGAGGCCTTTCTTGGTGGCACTGAGCCCCCCAGCCACCACCTCATCCCATCAGTGCTCCGCAGAACCGGGCACAGGGCAGAGAGGGGCCATCCTGATTCCAGCGCAGTCTTTTTTTTTTTTCCCTGATAATCCCAAGATTTTCAGGGAAATCAAGTCAAAAAGCTGCCCTGGTGAGCTCTAGGAGGGAGTTTTCCAGTAGATCCAGCAGGGGTGATGCTGGACTGGTCAACTCCTGCAGTTGAGGCTACCCACCAAGCCAGCACAGCCCCGTGCCACCCTGCGAAATGGGCCACCAATTCTTGTTCTTGGTCACAACATTTCATTTATGCTTCTTGCTAGTGCTTTCCTTCCTGAAATCCCTTGCAATCAAAGGAGGGTCATAACCACTGGTGCACATGGAAACCAAAATTCATCTATGGACCATTTCTGGACAAGCCCTGAAGTCCTGAACACTTACAGCCCAGCCTCACCTGTGTCATGAAGAAAGATGCAACGTCCTCCTCGGCTGGGCCAGGAGGAGGCCTGGAGTCACCTTCCCCTTCCCCCAGTGCCGTCCGCTGGCTGCCAGCTGGGGTCACAGGGCTGACGGGGGGCAGAGGCTGGGCTGGACTCGGAGGTGCAGCATCTCTCGCAGCTGGGAGCTGCTTCCACAGAATGGTTGTGACAGGAGCTTCCAGCATCAGCGGTTGCTTCGTGACTTTGGGGAGATGCGACGTGACCTGGGGGGACACAACAGATGTCCATGAACACTGCCATGAGTGTCAGCGTGGGGTTCAGTCTGATGGCTGAAGACTGGTCCTTAGGAGACACGGAGTGCCAGGGCAGCTCCAGGGACACCCTGGCAGCATCTTCAGTCCCATAGGATCCCTCAGCCAAGGCAGATGGGCAGGACTGAACCCCAAAAACCCAGCGACAAACCCTGCCTGGGGCAGCAATAAGGGGGTGGTTGGACTCCCCAGCCTCATCCTGAGCAAAATACCTCCAATCCTTCTCACCCTTCCCTCCATCCCTCCAATTCCCTGGGATGTGTGTCCCACCGTGCTTCCCGTGCTCCCCAGCACGTTGGTTCCTGGGCAATGCTGCCCCAGGTATTGTGGCAAGGCTTTCATCCTTGCCTTAGGCAGAAAAAACCACGTGCTCCCGAGTCGCATCCCTCCTTACCTTGCGTCTGGCTTTGCGAGGGATGGAGAAGTGCAGCCTCTCTGTGGGTGGACTCTTCTGTCGGATAAGTTTAATCCCCAGATTGTGCTGGAGGAGCCGTGTCAGCAGAAGCGGCTGCCCTGGAGGAGCGGAGGTTCAGCGGAGCTGCGGGCAGCCAGCGTACAGCCCATGCCCTGCTCCTTCACTGGCAGCACACTGTGCCAGCTAACCGCGGGCTCGGCTCAGAGCATGGCACTGCCCAGGGAGCAGAGTAGAAGCCACCCTGTTTTGTAGGGAGATGCTTTAGCCCTCAGAACAGACATTGGACTGGGATATGTGCCACCAAGGCCAGAGGAACATAAAATCATAGAATCATGAAATGGTTTGGGTTGGAAAGGACCTTAAAGCCCATCCAGTGCCACCCCCTGCTATGGGCAGGGACACCTCCCACTAGCCCAGGTTGCCCAAAGCCTCATCCAGCCTGGCCTCGAACCCCTCCAGGGATGGGGCATCCACAGCTTCTCTGGGCAACCTGGCCCACTGCCTCCCCACCCTCATAGTAAAAATCTTCCTCTTAATATCCAATCTCTAAATCTACCCTCTTCCACCTTAAAGCTGTTACCCCAGCATCCCTGACCTGTTTTATTTACTAATCTACACAGAGCTCGCACAGGGAACAAAATCATTGCAATATTTCATCAGCATCCTTCTGGCTACCTTCAAATGTTGCTTATGGAGGCCATGGGCACGTTTGGGGGTTACCCACCCTGCTGCAAGACACCTGGACCAGCTTCAGCCCTTTGTGTGATAACCACTATTTGGGGAGGAAAACTTATCCTGAGATGGCACTGCCGCAGTCACAGATGGGCTGTTACGGACTTTGATGGGGCTGGGAGCAGCAGCAGGGCATTAACGGTGTTTGCAAGAGTAGTGCTCATCTGTGTTGCTCTTTAGAGAGCAGCAGCAATTAAAACACCTCCCCGAGGGCCAGGCCATCAGGGCAGGTGTGTCCAAGCCCTGAAAAGCAACGTGGTCCCTGTCCCAGAGAGCTAACTGCGAAGGAGGGATAAAGCA